GGAGCAGCAGGCTGGCTACCTTCTGCTCCATCTCCCATGCTCTAGTGCACAGATGAGCAATTTGCCTTCTTCTGCCTTGGCTTCCACATGCAGCCACAGGAAGCCTACTTTGTAAGTCCTTTGTATATCATATATATTTTATATTCAATGTGTTTCTCCAGTGAACCCTAACTAATAGAGGGACATATTTTTCCTGTACCAACTACTCAATTCTTTAGTTTGGCACAAAATAAATAATTGCTAGACTATGAATAAGTTAAACAGCATGACTATTTTCATGTAAAAGTTTAAATGAAAGGAGAAATTTTCTCTTAGATAGAATTGGATTACTCCAGTCTGCCTATCTTGAAGCGTATTATTGCTCCCAAATTTTATTGCTAAATATCACAAAGTCTTAATTAACAAAACAATAAAATAATGACTTTAAATTATTTGACATGTATTGCCATATTGCTTTCAAACATAATTTCCAAAGTGATGCATATGTATGCCCATCACTTCATACTCTCATTGGTATACATGTACATTCTTATACTTCTATATATATGTATATAAATACGTATATACATAAGTGTATACACTTAAGTGTAAGTATACTTATACACACATTAAGTTTATAAGTAAATATACAGATAAATGTATAAGTATACATACCCTTATACATCTAGAATAAGAATGTGTGTGTATGTGTATATATACATACACATAGATATCTCAAGCTTTCATTTGGGTCAAAAATTATTAAATTGGCTAGGCATGGTTGATGTATATCTGCAATCCTAGATCTCTGGGAAACTGAGGGAGGAGGACAGAAATTTTTTTTCTCAGCCTGGACAACTTAGCAACATAACAACATCTATCTAAAGAGAAAGACAGAGACAGAGACAGAGATAGAAACAGAAAGACGAAAGAAAGAAAAAAAGAGAGAAAGAAAGAAAGAAAGAAAGAAAGAAAGAAAGAAAGAAAGAAAGAAAGAAAAGAAAGAAAAAGAAAGAAAGTTAGAGAAAAGGGGACAGATTGGGTATGTTGTTCAATGCAAAGGGTGTGGGTTCTGTCCCCAGTACTTCAAAAGGGTCCTACAACTTCCAAGTAACTTTATAAATCACAACTTTCTGAAACATACATATCATATTTATATTAATACTGTCAAGTATACAAACATATTTTTGTAAGAAATTTATTTTATATTATTGAACTAAAATAGCAATAAATTATAAAAGTAACAAAATTTAATGATTTTAGAACTACAGTATGTCAAGCATTGCACAAAACCTTTGTTGAGCCACTATCTGGATGACATCATGGGCAAAATGGCAGAAATGGGTGAATCATAGGGGAACACCTGAAAAAATCTGAAGTATGCTTGAAAGATCACCAAAGAAAGAACAGAATCAAAAAAAGTACTGTGCTTGCCCATCTTAGTCTCCATCTGTGGGAAAAGTCATTAAAGGAGAAAATGATCTACTCTGTGAAAGGAGAGACTGAGGGATTCCCCCTTACTGGGAATTCGAAAGTCACAACCTATCTTAAGTTTGGTGATCCTGCCAGTAGCTGTCAATGGTTCAATGATGAATATTTAGGAAATGCAAGTTATCACTGGTATAGAGTATTGAGATTAAAGATCATTGTTCAAGAATGTCTACCTGTGGTCAATACATGCATCAATAATTAGATGGGTAAGTTTATTGTCTGTTTTCTTTGTATTTTAAAGGTACCCTTCCTGCCAATGATAATTGTAAGCTTTGAATAAAAGTATTTAAAAATTTAAAACATACACTGAAAAACTTTGAAAAGTGAGAAGAATTTGGGCAAATCCTCAGAAAAATCATGGATAGAAGGAGAGGCAGATAGAAACATCAGTGTTTTTATAGTTTTTCATCTGATGGCACTCTAAAATCTGTACGAAAACAGGTAGTCAGGCTCAAGCAGAACAACATGGACTTCTGGATTGCACAGGTCTGTTTAGGGTCCTAGGGTGTCTGCTAAGGACCACATCTGTTAGCTGGAGCTCACAATTCTCACAATTTGGGAAATGCAGCTAAGAGTACAGCAGATGCAATATCATGGAGGCTAAGAAAATGAACAGAAAATTCAGCGGACATGTATTGCAAGAAAGACAAATTTGTACTTTGAATTCAGACAATTTGGTTTGCAACTAACATAGTGACAATGCAGTATAATGTAATGAATCAGAATCCCAAATAACTAAAATACATGGAGTTTATAAATTCCATGTGTATAATACTTAACAAGCAATGTAACTTGTGATAAAATACTATTTTTATTTATAGTTATATATGGGCTGTCGTGGTAAAAAGTTGAAGTCTTTCAAAATACATAAAGAAGAGATGTATTTTTATTTCATTGTCATTAACTCCCCTTATAAAAGCTTCACAAATTTCAATATAAAAGTGTTTCATCCCTTTGTATTAAACTTTCCCTAAATATGCTGCGCATTCTGTTGGTATCTCAAACAGTTTTTCTTTATTTCTTTTTCAGAATTTTTTGTGTAACAAATCTCATTTTGGACTGTTCAGTTTGTATACTGAAATTTTAGTGAGTGGTTTAGTAGCTTCCATATTTTTGTTTTGGAATCTACAGAGTTTCCTATTATTCAGCTCATTCCTTCCCAATTAGAATACCTCTATTTCTTTTTTTTATTTTTATAGATTTCTTACTTTTATTTGTTTTCCTTAGCTAATTGTGACTAGAATTTCTAATATCTTTACAGTGAAAGTAATCATTTACATCTGGATTCTGATCTCCAGTGTACCAGTTCACTTTTTTTAATCACTTAGTCTGATATTAACTGTGTTTGATTAAAATATATGGAATTTGTATGGTAGGGATAGTTTGTACGATTCTCAGTTCATGGAGTGAATCATCATAGCAAGATGCTTAATATACTCAATTCTGTAAAATTTGTGCAATAATTGAGATGACTGTGATTTTACTTCATTTTATGAATGTGAGCTATTGTATTGTATTGTATTGGAGACTGAGTTTTGAAATTTGAGTCTTATTTCCATTCCAGAAATGAATCATAGACAGCTATGATATATGAGAGTTTTAGTATACTGGATATATTGGTTTGCTAGAATTTTAACAAAATTTTGTGAAATAATTTATTATTCAGTTTTTCTCCTTTCTTTACTTTTCTGAACTTTAGCTTTTGTCATTCCCTTCTGGATAGTTCTGGATTTCAGATCGCACTTACTCTCTGCTTCCCTAAAATACAAAGTTGGGTTACTAATTTGGAATTTTCCTTCTTTACTAATAAAGAAATTCAAAGCTATACATGTCTTTGTTACTATAATTTGCTGTATCAAACAAGTTTGTACATTTTATATATTCTCTTTTATAGTTTTTCCATTTTCATTTGTGATTTTTTTCTTTGACACAATGATTTTTTAAGAGAATGTTATTTTTTATATACTTGAAAATTTACTCTTTCTTGATTGACTTCTAGTTTAATTACACTGGCGTTAGTAAACAGTCACTGTGTGAGGCATGGGGACACAAACATGTGATCCCAGCTACTTTTTGTTTCATCTTTTAATTTATAGAGAATTGTTTTATGATCTTAGAAATTGTATATTTTGGGAAATCTTTTTTTAAAATTTTATTTAAAGAGAAAAAAACAAAAAAGGGTACAAGTAATACAGAATATCAAAAAAAATAAACAGTAGGAAATAGTTAATAGATAACATATTGTCACCTTAGAAATAGTTGTTCACGTTACAAAATTAAAGCATACAAAGTGGACAAACAGTGAGACTGCAAACAGTTCTGTTCAATGATCCAACAAAAATTCAGTAATGTGGTTGTCTTTCTGATACACTTAAACATATATGCAGTTATATCCTTTAGAGCACTTCCTGGGTGGAAGGTTATGCAAAGAAGAACCTGTACAAGAACACAAAAATCAGTAGACTTGTTAAAAACAGTGGTTGCTATACAGGGTGAGAGGCCAGATTTGCAGGCCCAAGATGTCCCTGGGGGTGGAATGAGGTAATTATTTGGCTTGAATTCACAATGAAGCTGGGCACAGAGTCGTGCTGCCAGTGCTGGTGGACGGCTGTCCCTCTACCTGAGACGTCAGAGAGAGTCAGCTTGTGGTGATTGCCCCAGTCACAGGCAGATGAGCTAGAAGAACTGTTAAAGGTCAAATTGAGGGCCTTTCCTTCATAATATGGGGGAGGGGCAGCCAAGCATAACCAACAGGATTGGGTGAGATCATGTTGGGTATGATTTAAAGCCATGTATGCCCCTTTAATCAAACTGAATAGGTTAGAATGTGAATATTGAGGGGCAGGTATGTGATCTGCCTGCTGTGGGGGGGGGCTTGAGAAATGCTTATGGTTGAGTGACTTACTGTGGTTGTTTAAACAGCAGTAACAGGATCTGTATTGGACTGATTGCATTTTGGATTTGGATTATATTTTGGCTTTAGAGCAGGATTTAGGCCTATGGGCGTGGATAAAATCTGTAGGGGAACCTTTTTTATGAGAATAAGATTTCCCCTGTCTTTGCCTGACTCATAGACTCGAAGTCCCCAGGTGCGTCCTGTCAGCCAGCCAGGGTCTTCAGGAGTGGTGACAGTGACGTTTAGAAGCTGACAGGGTCTTTGATTGGCCAGTGGGTAGTCATCTAGGCTGCACCCCAGTGGCCCCCATGTCAGTTTAAGTTGTTTATTGGGGAAGGCGGATTGCCATCCTGTTGCAACTGTTTCGCAGCCCCAAGGAGCACAAAAATATTCTCCCGGGGAATTACAATATGATCTGCCCCCTATTGCTGCGGGACAAAGGTAGAATTGACTTTGTCTGGGACCCTGGAGCCCCGGAAAGAACCAACTGGGTGTGGGCACAAACCATGGACTTCCGGATCCTACCCAAGTCCAAACTGTCTCTTGTCATTCTAGCAGCGAAACTCCCATTTCCAGGGTTGATAGGGCGGTACAGAGGAGGGAGCATGGTGGCGCCATTTTTTTTGTCTTTTTTAATAAAAACAACCCTACATTTATTGCCCCCAGTAAAAACATAAGGGTAGACAAAACAATATGAACAAACATTTTACAAATACTCCCAAGGCAAACCACTTAATCAGTTGCCTTTTTTATATGGGTACACACTGTAATTGACATTTATCTTAATTGCCTGCCATTGCTTCTCACTGCTGTCTTAATTCACTGATCATTTTTAGTTGGAGACACTTTGCAGCAGAGTAATATTATCTCCTTTCAGCATGATCTGACCCAGTTGTTTTCTTGACTTGGTTCTAGAATGAGTTTCTTCTGCATCATCTAATACAAGGTTCATGTACTCATCAAAACCAATAATACAGCCCTCTATCCGCATATTCACCTGCTCGTACAGCCACACCTGAATCTGGGATCTATTCTGCAAGTATCTGAAGATGAGGTTGATGGGCTGCACCATCACCTTCTGCACTTTCTGGCCCTGGCCCCTGTATGCCATGGCAGAACCCGACAAGGACCACAGCACCCACCACGCTAGCTCTTACAGAAACTTTTTTTTTTTTTTTAAATCGGTACCGGGGATCAAACTCACAACCACCTGCTTGCAAGGCAGGTTCTTATGCTGCTAGGCTAAATCCTCAGCCCCCTATTTTTTTTCACCACCAGAGTCAGTATGGAGGCGGCACCATTTTGAGTATTGGGGTGGTGCACACCATTTTGAGTACCCTTGTGGCCTCCAAAAAAAGGAAGTGGCAGCAAGTCGCCATCTTGAAAAGGCTCCGGGATATCAAGGACCACAGAGCCAGGAGGGCTGGGTGCTTTAGATAAGTCTGGTGGGGCCGGAGTACAATTGCGGAAGGCAGATAATGCAGCCTCACCCTGGGCAAGTGTCTCTGCGACCTGGGGATCTGCGTGACATTGTGCGAACAGCTCAGAGATTAAAATCCAATATGAAAAGGTGGTTACCGGAATCTTTTTGGGGCCAAAAACCTCATAAGAGTCTTTAAGAGCATCTCCCACTCTTTTCCACCTGTTTAAATTAATGGTGCCCTCTAGGGGAACCATGAACACACTGAATGTATAAACTGAAAGTACTGTATCAAATCTTTTGTCTTAACGTTAATCCCTCTTATCTTGGGTGCCTCCCTGAGGCCATTCACGAACAATTCATGCTCACTAAGTGCTTGCCCCATGCTAATCCTGTCCACCTACCATGATTCAGGTGAGACATAAGGTGGCTGTCTGCACAGATCACAGGAACGAAGTCCCAAAACAGTCACACCGGCCGGCGCTTTACCCCCGTGAACGGTCCCGCGTCATTATCCCTCATGCCAGGTCTGTCCCACGTTGGGCGCCACTTGATCCATCCCATGGATTGGTCCGTGGGCCTCGCCTGGAGAGGGGACCGAGAAGAAGGGCTGGGCAAGAGAAAAGAGAGATGGAGACAGGTTGAGATTCTAATCGAGTCTCGTTTGTTCAGAATGTGTACATGGCTTATATAGAGTCAAAGGGGACGTGGCCTTACAGGATGGGCCAGCTTGGATCTTCTCATATGCAGTGGGCCTATCAGACTAGCAGGAAGTCATATGTAGGCACATAGGTAAGTGGACATGATGTCAACAAGAGGGGATTATGGGAAAAGTAGGCTGAAGTGGGAAGTTGCTCACATCATGTGCACTGTAGGCAAGGAGAGGATCATGGGAAATGTAGGCTGACACACAAAATGCCCTTAAGTTGGAGGGGCAGGGCAGCTGCTGCCATTCTGAGCTGCTCCCTACAATCAATCAAAACAGAATAGAGTAAAATCAGTCAAAAAATATGGTCAGAGCAATATAGGGTTTCAAATCAAGTTAACAGGAAATCAAAGTGGGTTACTATAATGTGTCCTGATTTTTTATTTGTTTTTTTTCCTTAATTAAAAAGATAAAAATAAAAAATAATAAAAAAGGAGATTAGATAAAAGAGACCATAATAACACAGCAGCACAGGCCAGAACATAACAATTTAAGCAACATAGTGTTTCAAGACAAGATATCCCAACATAACAGTAGTTACCATAGTATCTCTTTCCTTGATATATTTGAGTATAACTTTGTATACTGTAGCATCAAACATATCAAGACAATGTAAAACCATTCAAAAGAATAACAGTATTACAGGGTATTTAGAACCAACTAACAAAAAATAAACAATGGTTTCTATATTATCTCCTTGTCTATAAAAGTTTTTGTTTATACTATCACATATAATAAAATCCAATAAGATGCAACATGTTAAGACCAATGGAGACAAAAGAACAAAAGCTTGATGGGACTTCAAAACAAGATGATATTAAATCAGCACTAGCTATTATGGTGTCTTGTTTTCTCCAAAATAGCTGTTCATAATATCATAGACAATAAAATCAAACAGCCCAAATAAAACCGTACAATTAATGAATGAAAACATTATAAGGCTTCAAAGCAGTATAATGGGGAATCATGGTTACCACATACTTTTATGTATTTGTATCATTTTTTACACTAGGGAAACTATTAGGTATTCATACATGTGAGTTTGATTTATTTTACTTATGAGTATGGTCTCAAGCTGCGCACATTTATTTATAAATATCTCAATGTTTTCCTTCTTTTAGCTGAGTAGTACTCCATTGTATGAAAATACCACATCTTTTTTATCCATTCCTCAGTTGACGGACACTTAGGTTGTTTCCAAGATCTGGCTATTACAAATTGTGCTGCTATAAATATAGGAGTATATCACTGTGGTACCATGCTTTCAGTTCTTCTGGGAATATGCCTAGCAGTGGAATAGCTGGAAGAAATGGGACTTCCAATCTCAGTTTTTTAAGAAATCAACAGAATGACTTTCACAATGGTTGCACCAGTCTACACTCCCATCAACAGTGTAAGAGAGTTCCTTTTTTCCCCACAGCCTCTCCAGCATTTGTTGTTGGTGGTTTTCCTGATCCTGGGCATTCTTTCAGGAGTGAGATGGAATCTCAGTGTGGTTTTAATTTGCATTTCTCTAATGACTAATGATGATGAACATTTTTTCATGTATTTATTTGTTATTTGTATTTCTTCATCTAAGAAGTGTGTATTCATCTCAGATGCCCATTTTTGGATTGAATCTTTGAATTTTGGGGGTCTGATCTTTTTTAATTCTTTATATGTTTTAGACAGAAGTCCTTTGTCTGAGGGACAGTTCACTAAGATTTTTTCCCAGTTTGTGGGCTTTGTTTTCACTATGCTGGAGATTTCTTTTGATGTTCAGAACTTTTTAATAAGACATGATCCCAGTTATTGATTCTGGTAATTATTTCCCATGAGGTTTGAGTCCTGTTCATGAATTCTCTACCTACCACTATGTCTTCAAGGTTTTTACTGAATTTGTCTTCCAATAGATTTACTGTTTCTCCATTTAGATTTTAATTTAGTACATGGTGATAGGCATTGGTCTACTTTTAGTTTTCAGTATGTGGAAAGGCAATTTTTCCAACACCATTTATTAAAGAGACTGTCCTTCCAGTGAATCTGTTTGGCCCCTTTATCAAAAATAAGGAGGTTGAGTGTGTTTGTAGTTGTGGTTGTATCTTCTAATCTATTACATTGATCTCTGGCTGTTTTGATTCCAGTACCATGTTGATTTTACTACAGTTGCTTTGTAGTATACCTTCAGGTCAGGGATTGTGATACCTCGTGCCTTGCCCTTGCTTCTTAGAACTGTCTTTGCTATTCCAGTCTCTTCTCACTCCAGATGAATTTAAGATTGATTTGTCTAGATCTATGAAGTATGTTGATGGTATTTTTATGGGGATTGCATTGAATCTGTATAACAGTTTTTGGAGAATGGCCATTTTCACAATATTTATTCTTCCTATCCATGAGCAAGGGATGTCTTTCCATTTTCTGAGATCCTTTTCAATTTCATTTTTTCAGTGTATTGTGATTTTCCTTGTATAGGTCTTTCACTTCTTTCCTGAGAGTAATTCCTAAATATATCATTTTTTTGGTTGCTGGTGTGAAGGGTGTTGCTTCTCTTATTTCTCTCTCTGTGAACTTCTTGTTAGTGTATAGGAATGCTATTGAGATTTGAGTATTGATTTTGTATCTAGCTACATAGCTGAATTTATTTATTATATCAAAGAGTCTTACAATGGAATTTTGGGGTCTTCTATGTACAGTATCATATCATCTGTAAATAATAATAACTTCTTCTTTTCCTATCTTTACCCCTTTTATTTCTCTCTTGTCTAATTGCTCTGGCTAGTATTTCCAGTACTATATTAAATAGAAGCAGTGATATGGAACATCCTTGTCTTGTGCCTGATTTTAAAATAAAGGCCTTCAATTTTTGGACATTTAGTATGATACTGGCTGTTGGTTTGTCATAGGTGGCCTTTATTATATTTAGATATATTCCAATTTTCTGCAAGGCTTTTATCATAAATAAATTTTGACCCTTATCAAAAGCTTTTTCTGCATCTATAGAAATGATTATGTGGTTCTTACTTTTGGTTTTATTGATATAGTGGATTACATTTATTGATTTACATATATTGAACCATCCCTACATTCCTAGGATGAATCCCAATTGGTCATGGTGTATAGTCTTCTTGATGATTTGCTGCATTCTATTTGCCAATATTTTATTGAGGATTTTTGCATCTGTGTTCATTAGGGAGATTGGTCTGTAGTTCTATTTTTTAGTTGGGTCTTTCTCAAGTTTTGGTTCTAGAGTAATATTTGCTTCCAGGAGTGACTTATGAAGGATTGCTTCCCCTTCAATTTCATTGAAGAGTTTGAGGAGTGTCCGCATTAAGTCTTCTTTGTAGTTCTTGTAGAATTCTGCAGTGAATCCATCTGGGCTTGGGCTCTTCTTTGTAGTTAAGGACTTAATTACATTTTCAATTTCATTAATAAAAATTGTGTTATTCAGCAGTTTTAGGTCTTCTTGACCTACCTTTGGTACTTCATATGTTTCTAGGAATATATCTATTTCTTCTGTGTTTTCAAACCTATGACAGTAGAGGTTTTCCAAATAGGTGCTGATTATCTTCTGTATTTCTACAGAGTCTGCAGTGATTTTGCCTTTTTCATTTCTTATTGCATGAATTTGAGCTTTTTCTTCCCTTTTTGAATAACGTTGGCTAGGGGCTTATCAGTTTTATTTCTTCTTTCAAAGAACTAACTCTTCGATTCATTGTTTCTTTGGATTGTTTTCTTAGTCTTTATTGCATTAATTTCTGCTCTGATTTTTATAATTTCCTCTCTTCTTTTGACTTTGGACTTGACTTGCTCTTCTTTTTCTAGATGTTTGAGGTGTAACATCAGGTTATTTATTTGTATTCATTCTGTTTTCCTGATATGGGAACTCAGTGCAATAAATTTTCCTCTGAGGACAGCTTTCATTGCATCCCACAGATTCTTGTAAGATGTATTTGTATTTATGTTTGCTTGTAAGTATTGTTTAATTTCCCTTGTGGCCCATTGATTACTCAAAAGTCTGTTATTCAGTTTCTATGTGTTTGTGGGATTTTTGCAG